CTGGGATTAAAGGCGTGCGCCACCACCGCCCGGCCTGGATCTCATTTCTTAACCAATTTACTAATCTCTGCTTTCAATAAGAGGGTTTAATTCAGGTACACTTCAATTAATCCTCAATTAATTACTGAGAGGAAAGCCTTGCTCTCTTAGCTTTAGCTGTCAACTTGATACAGTCTAGAGTCACCTGAGAAAGGAGTCTCAATTGAGAGAAGTCTGGATTATATTGACCTGTGTGTGTGTGTGTGTGTGTGTGTGTGTGTGTGTGTGTGTGTGTGTGTCTTCATTGTTAATTGATAAACGAAGGCCCAACCAACATAGGTGGCATCATTCCCTGGGCAGGAAGCCCTGGGCTGGATGAGAAAGCCAGCTAAGCATATGCCTGTGAGCAAGCTAGTGTGCAGCATCCTCTGTGGTCTCTGCTTCAGCTACTGCCCCGACTCCCCTTATTGATGGCCTGTGACCTGGAAGTGTAAGCTGAAGTCAACCCTTTCCTCCCCAGAGTCTCTTCTGGTCCAAGTGTTCACATCACAGCAATAGAGAGCAAGCGAGGCCACTGCCTCCTCCGCTTCCCTTCTTTATTTCTGCGTTCCTTGTGTCTCCACTTAACGGCCCCAACTCTGCCCTTCCGCACTGCTCGGTGTTCCTCTTTGATTCCCTTTTCACCTTCGTACATTTTATTTGTTTTTCATTCTTTACCTCGGGGATTAAGTCAACATCTTTTAAAGCTCCTTATGAGGGTGTATACATGGGATGGGGAGAGGACATGCCCCTGAGCGAATATAGAGGTCAGAGGATAACTTCTGGGGTTCGGATCTCATCTTCCACCTTGTGGGAGCATGAGTCTTGTTTCTGCCACAATACACACTCCAGGAGAGCTGGCCAGTGAGCTTCCAGGTGTAATCAATGCCTAAAACTTAGAAAAACCTTGTTTGGGTGGCAATTCACTTTCTGTGGCATGCAAACTCTGTGCACTTGACCTCTGTGCCTCCCCTACTATCCTATTATTATTGCACGGATTGCGTATTTATACATCTTATATTGTGAACACAGATTTGTAATGATTGTTTCATGCATTGGTGTTTGCAGCCATACAGGCAAAAAGAAAGGAATTACAATCCTGGAGCACACTAACACTTTTATTCGTGGCGTTGTTACCGTGCCCTGTGCTCACCTCTCTGACTTTGAGTCAACGGCTCGCATCATCTCTTTTCAGCCTGGGGACTCCCTCTACCATGCCTTGTAAGGCAAGTCCACTGATAGTGATCCCCTTCAGCTTTTATCTGGAAATGTCCTGCTTTTTTCCTTAATTCCTGAAGGATAATTTTTCTTGAGGAAATTTGGATGACATTCTTCAGGATTTGCATATGTTATCCTGTATCTTCTGGTCTCCACAGTCTCTGATGGGAAGTTAACTGTTAATCTCATCATGGTTCCCTTGTGTGCAAAGGATGAATGCTTCTCTATACTTTTTTAAAAATTTTCACTGCAGTTCCCTCTGTCTTCAGTGCCCCCCAAAGAACCATCTGTGGCCCACTGTAAGCCTGGAGCCCTCTGGGAGCACAAGCTAGTAAGTCTCAAGCCGGCTCTGGGTGATGGGAGAGACTGAGGAGGCGGGGAGCTCAAACCTCAGACCTGTCAGGGCTGAGGCCTCTTCCTCAGAGCTCCCCTTCATTTCGAATCCTCTTCCCTAGAAGGCGTCCTTCAAACTCCTGCTCCTCCTCCTCCTCCTCCTCCTCCCAGCGTCCCCACCTCCCCGGGGTGGATCCTCCTCCTCAGTGTCCCCTCCTCCTCCAGTGCCCTCCTCTTCAGAGTTGCTGCTCCTCACTGCACCCCCTCCCCCTCCTCTGAGTGGATCCTGCCCAGAGCTCTTCTTCCTCTGAGCTCCTCCTCCGGTTCCTGCTGGGCTCCCGACACCTCTTGCCTCTCCTCCTCCCCTTGCTGGGCTTCAGAACACACCGGTAAAGGCGGAGCTTGCAAGTCTGCCCCTCTGCTGCGGGACAGGTGAGAGGCGGGCCCCCACAGCCCCTGAGCTGGGGCGACCTTGGCACTGGAGCTGGGGGTGGGGGGCAGTCCCTCCCCTTTGGGCCGGGTGCTGCTCCCCACTGGAGTGAGCAGATGGGAACCCCAGGGCCTCTTGTCCCCTGAGGGAGGATGGAGTAAGCAGTTTTGGTTGTCCCAGGCTGAGGCTAAGATGCCAGAAGCACCCTGGACCTAAGAAAGAGCAGGTTCCTGGGGCTCACGCCAGAAGTCACGGAGCCCGGGAATCCGCGTGTAGCCAGGCCTCAGGACTGCGGACCTCTGTTCTGCAGCGAGCAGGGTGGAGACCTGACCCATGGGCCTTTGCATAACTTGCCCTTTGGAGTGTATTCTGGGCCTCGTGAGCACAGGCAGTATCTAAACAAACCAGCCCTCTCTCCACAGACTCTGCTTCTTGCCCTTTGGGGTGGAGCCAAGGTTGGGAAGTTAGGATGGGGCTGGTGCGTGGACCCGTGCCAGCCCAGCTTGCACCCACTGAGGCTGAATGTTGTTGTCAGTGACTCTTAGAGGACCCACCCCCATTTTAATTAGGAAAAACTAAAAGAAATCTACGCTGGGCTAAAATCCCAGCACTCGGAGGCAGGAGCAAGAGGATCTCTGAGTTCCAGGACAGCCTGGTCTACATGTCTACATGTGAGTTCCAGGACCGCCAGAACTCTACATAGTGAGACTTTGTCTCAAAACAAACAAGAGAAAGCAAAGAAATTCTGCACTGAACATACAAGGAGTTTTACAGTCCACGACCACAGACCACCAACTAGAATGCACAGTTAATAGCCTGTTGTACTTTATCATGGTTACCTCCACCCAGGCGGCCCATCCTGTTCCTGTTGGGGTGTCTAGTCAGCAGCAGACACTGGTGCGTCCCCCCTGAAACAGCCGAGCATGCATCTCATCGGTTAGTGACAGAAGTCCTAGAGATTCGGTTTCCTTTTGGTTGTTTGTTTTGTTATTGAGACAGATTTCATACTGCTGCCCAGGCTGGCCTCGAAATCCATACAATCCTCCTGCCTCAGGCTCCCAAATACTATGATTACAAGCTACCTTGCGTATCTTAACCCTGAAGTTTTTCAAGTATTTCTGCCTCCCAGCCCCGAGGATGTGAAGGGGTTGGAGTCTTTTTTTTTTTTTTTTTCCTGCGGGGCTGTGTCTGTGGGATTTGGAAAGTTAGACGAGGGCCCGGAGGAGGATGGAAAAGCAGCTCTCCACCATTTGCCTGGATCCTGAGAACAGACGTGGGGTGTGCAGATGATGTTCCAAAGAACAAAACGTTGTGTAATGATTCTTACGGCACAAAATGTTTCAAGAGGGAGTGAAGGGAACTTCCAAAAGCCCCAGCGGCCCATGTTGGCAGTGGCTGAAGTGGGTCATCGGCCTGGGTGCTCTTTGTTAGGCCTCTCCACTGTTAGCTTGCCTCGTTTGAATCTGCTGGCTCCATGTGTGATTTCTAAGCTCTAGGGCACCGTTGTCGAGTTCATGCTGGTGATGAATTAGAGGTTACGGCTTTGAGACCGCTGGGTCCAAGTACTTTCGTGCTCAGCTACAAAACATCAACCCCTCACCCTGTTCAGCTGTCTGAGAGGGAGAGAAGAGACATGCCCTGTGGAATCTGTCTCCGCTGTCAGAAATACTGTTCAAAGGGCAGGGTCGTCTCTTTACTCATAGAAGATACAGTCTGGGGGATGTGACAGTTAGCGTCTGCACATTTGATGATGCCGCCTATGCCCTGAACATGACAGGCTTGTGAGAAGGCGGCACTCGGGGTGCTCAGTGGAAGACTGTGTCCTACCGTGGGGAGAAGAGGCCTGACTGTCCGGTGGTTGTGCTGGGATATGTCTTGTGCCCCCACAAGGGACCTTGGAAATAGACTATTAAAATGGAAGTGTTCCAGTTTCTAGGACACCACACGGGCTTCTGTCCCTCTCGCTGCCCAGTCAGAGTTCTCCCATATCTAGTCTCTTTTGGCGGAGGGGGGGTTGGCGGGAGCATTGGAGTATCGTGCTGCACAGTAGAAGAAGCCCTGTATCCCCTCTGCTCCAGCAGGGTTGCCTACTCAGGGAAGACACTCATCCCAAACCCGAACCTGGGACCCTGCTGGGTCTTGTCACTCACTGCCTAGCCTGCTCTGTAACTCATCAGGCAACCCTCTGGGGTTTAAAAGCAGGATCCTGGGACCATGCCGCCTAGATGCAGGGTTGACAGACCACACAGGAGGTCCCATTCTGTCATTTTGAAACTGGCTGACAAGGCAGGTGCCTTCCCAGAGCCTTGACGGCCACATCTGTGATAGGTGAAGAGCTATATTTAGGCCAGGCAAAGACCTGTGTCTGCTGTGTGCGTAACATCCAATTTCCCTTGACTCTAGACATAGCAACATCAGTGGGAAACCATGCAACATGGCGAAGAGGGCCGATGACATTCTGATCCTTTCCATAAAGGGTCATCTTCCCAAATACGTCTCTTGTCACCACCTTGGGGTTCTTGACCTGTGGGTGCTATAAGCCCTCTGGTCTGCCTGTTGGGTGGGACAGCATTGCTACTGTAAGGAGGCATCGTGAGTGTTTGGTTAAAATTGTGTGTGTGGAGTAATGTAGTCAATAACTGTTAATGCCCTCTGAATCCGGATCCAGTTCCTGTGTTTGGATTTTTCCTTCAAAGAGAAAGAGGCTGGGATAGTTGACCTAGCTAGGGGTCACCTTGATTTTCGGATTTCGGAAGTATTCTAACCTGTTGGTATTTCAGGGGAGGGGTGCTTAGTGAATTAAGAACAACAGCCTCACCATTTGCAGGGACAGACAGATTTGTGTGCAGTGTGTATGTGCTCAGGACCGACTCGGCCACCTTACTTGTCATCCAGGGCAACAGCAGTACAGACCTGGTTCTCGCAGCCAGGGAAGCAGGCAGAGTTTCTAAGTGACTTCTTCAAGGTCGCCAAATAATGCAGCTGTCGGAAACAATGCAGGCGGGGTGCGGGGGGCTCAGGGGGGGGGGGGGGGGGGGGGGGGGGGGGGGGGCGGAGAGGACACAGGGAGAGAGGACACGGGGAGAGAAACTTGAGCAACTTGGGCTTTCTCCCTTGGCGCTGTGACTTCTACTCAGTGATGTTGATTGTAAATCAACAAAGGATGCTTTCTTCCTGTTTGGATCTTTGCCCATAAACAAGGCGATTTCATAACAGGCCAATAGAATGTATCTTGGTCGCAGACAGCCATGATCTGGTTTAGAGGCGGTGAGCTTTTTAGGTTAGGAGTATGGGAAGCTAATGTTAAACTCACTGACTTGCAAACTTGTACAGATGGTACAGAGAAATAGGATCTTTATTCAAGCGGGGCCGGGGTGGACAGTGATGGGTCTGGTTCACAGAGTTTTCTCCAAATTTTGATGATTAACAGAGATAGTTGTCCTGGGAGCTTCCTGCAGCGCACAATTACTAATGTTTGCAAAGCATTCAAGGTTTAAGGGGGCGAGAGACGTCTGGACTGGCTTTTGGCCATCCAGTCTGATGAGTAGCATGTAGGAAACTTAAAGGGGGCCTGTGGGATAGGGAGATACCACTCAGGAGTCCAGCCTAGCTGTGGTGCTTGTCCACTGGCTCAGTTCATGGTACCTGTGCTCCTTGATTCTTCGGAGAACCTGCCTCTAAATAATGTCACGGGCATCCATGCGCTGAAGCTCCGGCTGGGAGGCAAGCCCTGAATCAACGACTTTCTAATTCCCTATACCATCCGTGGCCACTGCCCTGGACCTACAATCTGTTGTCATTTCCTCCTGAAGAGCTGTTGTATAACAGAGTTTTCCTGGGGAGATGCAACTCAGACACACACACACACACACACACACACACACACACACACACACACACACCTATTCACCCCAGAAGCAGAGTGCACAACAGACCAAAGTAACACCTCATCATCAGTGATGAGCTAATGGATTTTCACTGGAGTCACTAAGAGGAGTGTGGGGTGAGGGGTTACTTACAAGGAACAGGGTTGAGGTAAAAGCAGCTGCACCACCTAGAAGTCCACCCCCAACAAAGTAGTTCATGTTTTCTGGCCCAGTCTTGAACTTGTTGACCGGTGGGGGAGGGGAGCTACTGTCCAGAAGGAAAACCCTTCTAGGCCTCTGTCTCAAGCAGCTAGGCCTTTGTCTTGGGTCAGGAGGGTGAGACAGACAGAGAGCAGGAGTGTGCCATCTTTACCATCTGTTTCCTGCCTGACAGGAGTCTAATTCTTAGTCCCTCACGTACACACACACACACACATCTTCAGTTCAGGTAACACAGAAACCATACAGCTACAGGAGAAAATAACACACTTACCTTTTTTCTCCCCAAGATACAAGGGGTATATTGTAAATCAGTCCTTTCTAGAACTGCTCGGTTTCCCATATTAGAATTGTCTTGCAAGTCCATGGACTCTCTAGGGTCGCTCAGTCCCCTCACATGGGGGATTTCTCACGTACCCATTCTGGGGTCACGCAAGCTCCCCCTACCTAGAGGTTTCTCGTGACCTCTTACCATCCCCAACCACGAAGGCTTACTGGGTTCCTTCATTGACTTTTCATTCTCTGGCCCATATAGGAGACTTTTTTTTGTTGCCATGGTTAAAGCAGAGGCCGGCGGATCTCTGTGAGTTCAAGGCCAGCCTGGTCTACAAATCGGGTTCCAGAACATCCAGGACTGTTACACAGAGAAACCCAGGAGAGGGGGTGGGGGGTGGGGTCCCTTTCCTTTCTAGGTTTGCACATGAAGTATCCCCTAAAAGACTCCTGCACATGAAGTATCCCCTAAAAGGCTACTGCACATGAAGTATCCCCTAAAAGACTCCTGCACATGAAGTATCCCCTAAAAGGCCTCCTGCACATGAAGTATCCCCTAAAAGACTCCTGCACATGAAGTATCCCCTAAAAGTCTCCTGCACTGAAGCCGTGGTCCCTGGGTGGCGGTACTATTGAGAGGTGGCTGGCCCATGAGGGCTTCAGTCTAACCAGTGGGTTAATCCATTGATGAGTTCATCGCTGAATGGACTACTGGGAAGAAGGGCTGGGTTGGAGGTAGTCAGTTACTGAGGTTGCATCTTTGAGAGGTACATCTTGTCCCTGGTGCTTCCCCTCTCTCCTTCCCACCGCCATGAGAGGCGCTTTGCTCTCCATACTGTATGTTCCGTCTGGCCACAGCCCCACAGCAGTGGAGCAGGTTGACATGGAGTGAGATGACTCAAACCGGGCGCCAAAATGAATCTTTGTAAGTTTTCCTCTTAGCATTTGTCACAGAAACAAAGAGCCAAGAAGCGATCTTGTCTCCAGAGTAGCCACACGGTAGTGCTTGAAAGAGCCAGAACAGATCGTCCATACATAGGGAAATAAGCAGTGAGGGCAAACTGTCCCTGACATTGACGTCACTGGGCAGACTTTAGATCAGCTCACTGAAATCTGTTCAAAATGATAAAAGAAAATGTCTTTAAAAAGTAAAAGATTGGGGCTGGAGAGAGTGGTTAAAAGCACTGGCTGTTCTTCCAGAGGATCCAGGATCAATCCCCAGCACCCGCATGAAAGCTCACAACTATCTGTTAACTCCAGTTCCAGGGGATCCAAAAGATGTCTTCTTTTGGCCTTGGCAGGCACCGGGCACGTACATGGCGCACAGACAGACCTGCCAGCATTCACCCATACTCCTACAAACAAATATTTTTTAAGACAAAAGTATTAAACAAATACCAGTAATGAACAGAGACCAAAAGAAATTCTGTAGTTGAAAATGAATAACCAAAATGTAAATCCCTTCAGAGTCTCAAGAGCAGATATGGGGAGTCAGAAGTGAGAGTCAGTAAGTACAGAGACAGTCAACCAAGTCCACGCCCTGAGGGGCAGGAATTACGAATGAAGAGGAAATGTAGTGATCCTGAAACTTTTATAGACACTAACTTCCATACAGTGCAGGCCCAATTAGGAATGTGATGGAGCAGCTGGCGCCTTAGAAGTGCACGCCTCTAATCCCAGCACTCAGGAGGCAGAGGCAGGTGGATCTCTGTGAGTTCAAGGCCAGCCTGGGCTACAAAGCAAGTTCCAGAACAGCCAGGGCTGTTACACAGAGAAACCCTGTCTCAAAAGAATTTGATGAAGCCATTAATCTGTGTGTGTAAGAAGTTCCTCTGTGGTGCTGAATTAAAATTTTCAGCTTGAACTCATCTATAATCTCTTTTTTTAAAGATCTATTTATTTATTATGTATACAGTATTCTGCCTACTTGCCAGAAGAGGGCACCAAATCGAATTATAGATAGTTGTGAGCCACCGTGTCATTGCTGGGAACTGAACTCAGGACCTCTGGTAGAGCAGCCAGTGCTCTTAACCTCTGAGCCATCTCCCCAGCCCCCTATAATCTTGTAGGATGCACCTCTCTGAGTGTTTATGTGAGGAGTTTCTAATGAGGTTTAACTAAGGCAAGACATCCACTACCCGGTTGTTGGTGGTACCATCCTGTGGGCTGGAGCCACAGACTGAATTAAAAGGATAAAAGCAAGCTGGGAATCCATATTCATCTCCTTCTGCTACCTGACTGTGTGACTCTCCTTCTGCTGACTGGCTGTTGGGGACCAGCTGTCTCCTGCTCTGGCCACCAGGACTTTGAGGTGCCCCACCCCCAGGCTTTCCCATCATGATGGACTGTGCCCTCACATTGTGAGCCAAAATGAACCCCACTTCCCCTGTTGCCTCTTGACAGGTATTTCCTTACAGATTTGAGAAAAGTAACTAATAGAAACTCCTAGGAGAGCTATGTCTGTAGAGTTTTAACCCAGCTTTCTATAAAAAAAAAAAAAAAAAGAAAAAAAAATCTGAGAACAAGAAAGAAGCGACTCCCCATGGCGAGGGCCATCAACAGCATTAGCATCTGGTTTCTAATGACAGTTAGAGGCAGGTGCGACATTGTCCCTCCAGAAGTTGCTAGAGATGTTGTAGACTAGAGTTTGCAGAAGGGTCTTCTGGGTGCCACCAGCTGCTGCTTCCTGACACTCTGATGTGTGACTTGCCGGGACCAGCCGTGTGGAGCCATGTGCCTTACTGGGAGCTGCCTCCCAACGAGAGGCAGCCTGGGCATCAGAAGCAGGGTACCAGCCATGCATCTCACAGATCTGACTGGGGTGTGTCTGAGCACGTGAGTGGGTGTGTGCCTGGAGTATGTCGGTGCTGCCCCAGGGTGGTGGTGATGGGTGTGGGAGGGTGTGTTGTGCGTGTGGGAAGATGTGGGGAAGTGAACCAGTTGCAGACTTATGTGATTAGGCACTTCAGTGAGTCTGTCTCACATGTGCAATCTGAGGCCAAGGAAAGAGATTCTACTCAAGGGGGACCCTGAGCCAGAGGGGTTTTTTAGGTAAGAAATTTATTGGGTTATTAATGCCAGAGACGGCTGCAGGATGGGGACTAGGAGGAGAGATCAGGGCCACATGGCAGAGTGAGTCCCTTCTTACACATTTTAGAGAAAGGAGGAAGGATGGTGGATCTAAGTTAAATTAAGCTTGCAGCTGGCCATTGCTAGGGGTCAGTTCAGAAAGGTCAGGTGATCAATAAGCATGTTTCCTGGCCAGCCATTCTTGGGGAGGGGGGGGAAGTGAAGTAGGAAGAATCTAGGCAAACAAGTTACTTAAGTTCTAAAAAAGCAAATTCCTGCAGTCACTGGAGTTGTCAGAGTTCAACCAATGTGGAGCTTTACAAAATGGCACAACCCTATCAGAAGTAGCTGTCTATAGCTTGCGCTTGGCCGCATGTCCCCTGAAGCTTCAGGTGTTATGATTGAATCCCTGCTGTGCAGTATTGAGATGGAAACCTCACATCTACAGTAGTTAAAGGTGGAAATAACTATTTGAAAATAGGTTTGGATGAGGCCATTAGGGTAGAGCCTGTGGTTGAATCCAGGTGGTCTAGGAGAGGAACAGTGCCCCCCACACGTAGGCTTCCTGTTTCTTGTCAGGTAATGCATCACAAATACCGTCAGGACTTGACCACCAGGAGGGAGCCTTGGAGCCTCCAGAGCCATAAGCCAAAGTAAACCTCAGGTTTAGTTACATTGTAGGTGTGTGCACATGCATGAACCCATGCAGAGGTCAGAGAACAACTTATGGGAATGGAGTATCTCCTTCCACTGTGTGGGTCGTGGGGTCAAACTCAGATTGCCAGCCTTCGAGGAAAATGCCTTTGCCCACTAAGCCATCTTGCCAGCCTCCCTCTTGTTAAAACAGCATGCCTTAAGTATTTTCTCACAATTTTATGAATGTGTTAGTCCCTCATCTCCCATGCTTCCTGTCACATGCTCCCTCGGATTACTAGGGCCTCCATAAGGCTCCACACAAAAGTGGATGACAGACACGTGGTCAGGCGAGGACCCGTCAGGGTTGGGCAAGTGCGGTGAGGGGAAACAAAGCCATGCTGGGGACAGCCTGCACCATAGTAAGGGTGTGAGTGAGCCAATGGGAAGAAGTCAGGGCTTGGTTTCAAACGTTTTGGTTGTGTGAGACGTGGTCTCACGCCTTAGCTCAGGCTAGACTCAAACAGCAGTCCTCCTTGTCTCAGCCACCCAAACGCTGGGATTACAGATGTGAGTCACCACACCCAGCTCCAGACCATGGCTCTGTGGGGGGCTGGGGCTAAGCTCAGGAGTATCAGAAAGTTGGAGAAGTTCTGTTACTTCACCTCCCTACCCTGCCTGGGAAAGCATCTGGGCAAGAGAGGGGGAAGGGCCTATGTCGCTGCCCCTGCCTCTGCCTGGTTCTTCTGGATGCACAGATGGAATAGCAGTGTGGCTCAAAGCAGAGGGCAAAGGTCAGCCTCTGCTCCTTTAGAAGGGTATAGCCCTGGATGTTCAGACGCCCAGGAGGTGATAAGTGCCCTCCTGTGCCAGGTATCTGGAGCATGGAAGGCTGCATGTGTGCCCTGAGGTGCCTAGGGTCAGCATGGCATCCATAGGGTGGGCTGCTGGTCAGGGAAACCCTGTCTGTAGCCGGGCCTTGACCATCTTCTGCCCCCAGAGTACCTGATGCACTGATACCAGTCATCAGCTACTGCTCTTCTCCCAGTGGCCCTCCCTCACCCACACGGTCCATTCCAGGCACCTGGCCCCACAGCCCAGGGTCCTGTGATATCATCATTCAGGCCCTCACTCGCTGCCAGCGAAGTCCTCCAATGAAGCCTCCAGGGAAGTCCCACTCCAGATGGAGGCGGCATCCGCAAGCCTCTCTGAGTTCTGCTGTCTGTATACCTCCTCTCGACCAAGGGCTTGAGCAGGGAGTGCATCTGTCATCTGCCCATGGAGCTCCCAGGACCCAGACAAGCACAACCAGTATGCTAAGCTCCCATGCTTCCCCCAGGTTTCTGTCCGCTTCCCCTGCATCAGCTCCTGAGGACTTAGGGGACAGGGACATCCAAGGCTACCATTGCCCCTGGCCTGCCTTGGTCCTCCTTTTACTCGGCACTGAAAGCACAGCAGCTTGGCTTTAAGGCAGAGGGCAAAGGGCAGCACTGGCTCCTTTCTAAGGGACCAGCCTGGGCCAGGTGAATGCCTGGGGTGTGATAATACTGTTTTTCCTGGTCCTAGGTGGCTGGAGTGAGGACCAAGAGGTGTTTCCTGAGAAACCCAGAGAGCAGCAGGGCAGCCATGAGGCTGCTGACAGGGACTGAGCTGTGGTCCGTGGCCATATTCATGGTCATCTTCCTGCTTCTGGTGGACCTGATGCACCGGCGCCAGCGCTGGACACCCCGCTTCCCCCCAGGCCCTGTGCCCCTGCCTGTGCTCGGGAACCTGATGCAGGTGGACTTCCAGAATATGCCAGCGGGCTTACAAAAAGTAAGGGAATTGTTAGAGGTCAGGAGAGGCCATGGTGAGCCCCCTTCAGAACACAGTGGGTGGTAGTACAACCACATGCCGGACAGGAGCTGGCCCCCAGGAGAAAGCAAGTTGAGAGGCTCCCTTCCCTTGGGGAGAGTGGTGTAGGATCTGAGGATACCCTAAACTCCCCAAAGGCAATGGCCAGGAGGTGGGATGGGGCTTAACAGCCAGTTTGAGATCCAGTTAACATGACAAAATATAGTAGGGGGGTGGGGGTGGGGGGTGCTGGGGTTGTGTCCTAAGTCCAACATGCCTGTAATTGGGGATCTAAGGCAGGTGGGTCATAAACTCCAGGCCACCTTAAGGTACATAATGAATCTATCTCTAAAACCAAAATCTGAGAGTCAGGTGATACATGCCTCTGATCCCAGCACTCGGGAGGCAGAGTTCCAGGCTAGCCCATGCTACATAATGAGACCATTTCAAAAACCAATTCTAAAATTTTTCAAGGAAAAAAAGCCCAATACCACAGTGGTACAGACCTTTAATCCCAGCGCTCAGAGCAGGCAAAAGCAAGCAAATCTCTGTGCATCCAACACCAGCTTGGCCTACACAGCCAGTTCCAAGCCAGCCCTGGCTACAAACTGAGACCTTGGCTCCAACACACACACACACACACACACACACACACACACACACACACACACACACACACAATAAAAGGAAAATCAAGTTATGTAGACCTCACTTTCCTTCTCATTCCACCAGAGGGAAATGTTTTGAGACTGTGGGAAAGGCCGTGATCCTGAACCAGTGTCTCTGTCAGGAAATCAAAGTTGAGAAAGATGCAGCGGCCGCCTCCACCCTTTTGCCAGCTCAGATTCTCAGACTCCCCCACTTACACCCATGATCCTTAGTTTCCTCATCTAGACATGGGACCCATTGGCAAATGTACAGACCTGCAAGATCATGGTGGGGTGACTGATAAAGAGTCCAGGGCAGTTCCCCAGACAAAAAATACCAGATTCCATCCTTCTGCGAGGCTCACGACTGGACCTCCCCTGCCGGGTCCCATCCAGTCCAGCTAAGCACGGAGAATCCAGGCTGGCCAGTAATGCGCTTCACTCCTTGCCTACAGCTGCGATGCCGCTTTGGGGACCTGTTCAGCCTCCAGCTGGCCTTTGAGTCAGTGGTCGTACTGAACGGGCTGACAGCCCTGCGCGAGGCGCTGGTGAGATACAGCGAGGACACCGCGGACCGGCCGCTGCTGCACACCAATGACCACTTGGGCTTTGGACCGCGCTCTCAAGGCAAATGCCCAAAGTGACGGACGGAAGTGGTGGGGAATGGGGGCTAGAGACAGTCCGGGACCTCACTGCAGGGGAGGCCGGTGGCTGAAAGGCGGAGAAAGGATCCTATAGCAGTGACACAGTGGGAGGGACAGGAGCGGAAAAGAGGACTGGGTCTCAGGCCCAAGTTTGGTCCTCCAGGTGTGGTCCTAGCGCAGTATGGGTCTGCCTGGCGTCAGCAGCGGCGATTCTCTGTGTCCACCTTCCGCCACTTCGGCCTGGGCAAGAAGTCACTAGAGCAGTGGGTGATTGAGGAGGCCAGATGCCTCTGTGCGGCCTTCACTGATTATGCCGGTAGGTGATGGATTGATTGGTGGGTCCAAGTGGGGCCAGACGGCACACACCCTGACCGGCGTTTCCCCTCGCAGGACGCCCTTTCCGGCCTAACGCTCTGCTGGACAAAGCGGTGTGTAACGTGATCGCATCCCTCCTCTACGCCTGCCGCTTTGAGTACGATGACCCACGCTTCATCAGGCTACTGGACCTCCTGAAAAAGACTCTCAAGGAGGAAGCTGGCTTCCTGCCCATGGTGAGGGGATCAGGGGCGTCTGTACCCAGATAACTTCATACAGTGGGGCCTCTCAGGAAGATGATCCAGGAGAGGGCCTTCTGGGAGGCGCTGGACAGACGTCAATGGGAGGGGGCAGGACAGACTGAAGTCGAGTGCTTGGAAATGGTGAGTGCCTGTGGAGGCTACACACGTCTGAAATTTCCACAGTATGATAGCGCTCCTGGAAACTCAGGGCAAGAAGGTTAGAGGCTGGCATTGGGAGGGACTACATCACTAGTCTACCCTGGAGGAGGCTGGGACCCACAGCACAGGAAGCACCCAGGTCCCTCTCTTGGAACCTCTCTGTTGGTCACAGTTCCTGAATGTGTTCCCGATACTCCTGCACATCCCAGGGCTGGCTGGCCAGGTCTTCTCTGGGAAAAAGGCCTTCATGGCTATTCTGGACGAGCTGCTAACTGAACACAAGACAACCCGGGACCCTGCCCAGCCACCCCGAGACCTGACCGATGCCTTCCTGGAGGAGGTGGAGAAGGTGAGGGGCAGCTGTTAACATGGGGCCAGGGGCTGGGGGCTGCCATCCTGTGTATCACCAAGTGCCTCAGCCCCTGGGCTGCCTGGGGACAATGGGAGGCCATTGAGGGACTTCTCTCCCCACTGAGTCTACCCTTTCTGCCTGGCCCAGGCCAAGGGGAACCCCGAGAGCAGCTTCAATGATGAGAACCTGCGTATAGTGGTGGCTGACTTGTTCATGGCGGGGATGGTGACCTCTTCAACCACACTGGCCTGGGCCCTGCTCCTCATGATCCTGCACCCAGATGTGCAGCGTGAGTCTTGCTGGAGCTGGGAAGAAAGAAGAGGGAGGGGAGAGGCACACTCCTTAAGCTTACTTGAGACACACGTGGCTTCCAGCACTGACTTGACCCAGACTCCAGCAAGGGTGATGGCCATCTTTCTCCCATGGACCCAGACCTTAACACAGAAGTAGTAGAGGGATAAGGGGCATCTGCCTGGGGCTCCTTAACTGGGGGATGCTGTTTCTCCAGACCGTGTCCACCAGGAGATCGATGAAGTCATAGGGCAGGGGCGGAGTCCAGAGATGGCAGACCAGGCCTCCATGCCCTACACCAATGCTGTCATTCATGAAGTCCAGCGCTTTGGGGACATCCTCCCACTTGGTGTGCCTCACAAGACATCTCGTGACATTGAAATGCAGGGCTTCCTCATTCCGAAGGTAGGCCTGGAGGCCTCTAATGTCCAGTCAGTGTTACCAGGCAGCTAGTGGCCTGAGCTGCCCAGTTAAGAAGGACTGGAATCTGGGCTCTCCAATTCTCAGCTCCACAGTACCGGCTTCCCCTGGGGAGTATGGGAAGCGGAACAGTAACAAGAATTGTACACCAGAACCCCAGCTAGAAAATCACGCAAGCTAAAACATGGCTGGGGTGGTTGTAGCAGCCACTACCTACCAGTACAGGTGACGGTGTGTATACCGATGTCACTTGTCACTTATCATTGTCATAACATCAAAGAGAGGGCTGAGAAGCTTCTAGGGCTGAGGTTACATGAAAGTGGGTGAGTGCATGTGATCATGGTGACCCCATCCCGGTCCATGTTCACACCATGTTTCTCCTGCCAGGGAACGACCCTCATCACCAACCTGTCCTCCGTGCTGAAGGATGAGACTGTCTGGGAGAAGCCTCTCCAGTTCCATCCTGAACACTTCCTGGATGCCCAGGGCCGCTTTGTGAAGCATGAGGCCTTCATGCCATTCTCAGCAGGTCCTGGGGGGGGGGGTGCCTGGCTCCCTATCTCTCCCTAGGGTGCCTTGGAGAGTTGAGCATCCATCAGGGCCCAGACTGACTGAGCCCCTCTCCCACCCACAGGCCGCAGAGCATGCCTGGGGGAGCCTCTGGCCCGCATGGAGCTCTTCCTCTTCTTCACCTGCCTCCTGCAGCGCTTTAGCTTCTCGGTGCCTGATGGACAGCCCCGGCCCAGCGACCGTGGGGTCTTTGGTGCTCTGACAACCCCGTCGCCCTACCAGCTCTGTGTTTTACCCCGCTAAGAGGAGGTACGAAATCTCATTCACTACCCTGCTGGGGTCCTAATGTGCAATATATCATTTTACTCTGAGATCTCCAGGCTGTAATGGACCTCAGCAGCCTCCCCTTGGACATTCCCAACCCCCTACCTATTCTTACAAGACCATTTGCCCCCAATGGAAGGACTGGTCTGTTGAACCTCAGAGAATGACAGCTACCCTTGCCTTTTCCTCTGCCCTCACGTTTCTCACCCAAATCGATCATGTTTGTACACAGATGCCAACATCTGGAAGGAGGGCCAGAAAGGACGGCTGATAGCTGACAGTGTAAGTCACATAGAAGGGAGGGACAGGATTCCTCCGAGAAGACCTCATTTCAGACTCATTTCCGCCCGCCACACACGTGAGGCTAACTGCTCAGTGAGCATCCTCACAGCTCAGGCTAACTGCTCAGTGAGCATCCTCACATCTATTGCTGAACTTCTTCTATGACATCCCAGAGATGTAGAGAAGTCAGGGAGGCTGAAAGTGATATGCCAGGTTAAGTGCCCAAGGCTAGCCATCGGGTACCAGGCGCTTCCCTAAAAGGCTTTGTGGGAGTCCAGAACCTCCCAAGCTTCTTAGTCACCACTAATTCTCTGACCTGTCAGAGTTACTGCTGTTCAGGCCCCTTCATAGTGAGAATGTGCTTCTGAGACCAGGCTTGGTAGAACCAGCAAAGCTCAGTGTCATAACAGGCTCCCAGATCTTAGCACAACCGTCTCCATGATGGAAGTATCATTCAGGCCATAAAACTCAACACAGTGACTGCACCTCTTGCCGTAATGAAAACAAAGACCCAGTCCTTCAAAGTCTGTAGTTCTGGGGAAGTCTCTAATTGTCCTAACCTTGCTTTTTGGCTTCTGTAGTTCTGCTTCTGGCTAACTGTTCTTATTAACCGATGTATATCAACCCACGATATGGTTTTTGTACTTAAAAGCTCACCCTGAGGAAGGCTCGGGACTGCCCTGGGATCCTGAGCACCCAGTGTAGTCGCCAGCCTGCTAATACAGACTTTCTATCGACTTAAACTTGTATCTGAGTAGTCTTCTCTGGTGGATACCCCACAGCGTTTCTGGAGGTTCCACCAAGATCCCCAGAGACCAGACTTTGAGACACTGGGGGTCTCAGATCCCCTCAGAGCAGGGAAGAGTGCAGGGGTCCAAGAAACTCCTAGGGGGTACACAGCCTGAAGACCGTCCAGGACCCTATGACTCCCTTTGATCAATCACTGCCTAAAGTTTTGGAGGAGTCTGACACCTCCACTTCAAAAAGGAAACAAATTCTGAAGTCACCTGGTCTGGTACCAGCAGAGGTAAGTCTGGTTAAGGTGCCCTCTGTTAGAGTATAAAGGAGCATTGATGATCCAGTGTCTGGGATCCATGTGAGATATCACCAGACTCCCTTGGGCTGCTCAGGTAGATGAATGTGTCGTGGCTAGGCCTGGTTGTCTATCTTTGTGTTTCTGTCAGGTCTGTTGACTGGAGAAACATCTAAAACAGAAGGGGAATGATCCTGCCCACGGCTACCCCAGTCCTCCTTCCATGGCCCACAACTTCCCGAAGGCTCCCAGGCAGCGGCTGCTACTGTTGCTATGGCAATGGTGGCAGTAATGGCGGTCATGAGGCCCACCTAAATCTAGGTTCCTGGCCTCCCCATGCACAATAAGCTGTCCCCACTCCCCTCTTTGTGGGGGCAAGTACCATGCGCTCCCCTGTAATTGAAACTTTAGCCCTAGTTATGGGGAATGAAAACTTTTTAAAAACTCAGTACTCAAGTAAACATAGACTTGGGCCACCTAAAAATTCTGCTTCCAGTGTGGAAACCCAGTTAGAGTCTTTAGCCGAGGTTGTTCTTCAGAATGAAGAGGAACTGGACCTCCTCTTTATGAGACAAGAAGGGCTCTGTGTAACACTAAAATAAATAAATAAATAAAATAAAAAGCGTGTTACTTCTATGCCAGCCAATCAGAGATAAAAAGATTTAGCCACTGTCAAAAATAACCTTTAAAAAAAAGAAATAGGGTTGGGGATTTAGCTCAGTGGTAGAGCCTTGCCTAGCAAGTACAAGGCCCTGGGTTCAATTCTCAGCTCAAAAAGAGTTCAGGCTCATCCTTTGCCGGGCGGTGGTGGCGCACGCCTTTAATCCCAGCACTTGGGAGGCAGAAGCAGGCAGATCTCTGTGAGTTTGAGCCCAGTCTGGTCTACAAAGCAAGTTCCAGGAAAGGTGCAAAGCTACACAGAGAAACCCTGTTTCGGAAAACCAAAAAAAAAAAAAAAAAAAAAAAAAAAAAAAAAAGAAAAAAAAGAAAAGAAAAAGAAAAGAAACACAAGGAGAGAGACATCAACTGGTACTAATATTTGTTCTCGACCCCTGGCTAACTACTACACTTAAGGTCATGGCTGGTCATTAATCCTTTTGCTCCTAGCTCTCACTATAAGATCCTGATTCCTCAACTGCCTACTTAGAAAACAAATTCTGTTAAACTATTAATGCTAATGAGACAATATAACCCCGTTCTCCCAGATGAGTCCATGACTTGACTCATGCCTGTAGAACCAATAGGGATTGTAACAGTCCCCCCGGCCTTAGCATAACTGACACCATGGTGGAAGTGCCAGTCAGGCCTTGGAACCCAGCACGCAGACAGCAATCCCTGCCACAAAGACCCTCCGCAGCAGGAAACAGCTATCACACCTTGCCCTGCATTTTTTATATCCTCTCAGAGTTTGGAATGAAAGTTTCCTGCTGAAAGACTACACTTCCCAGCTTCCCTTGCAGACTATGGAAGTCATTTCCACCCCCACAAGAGACCAAATCCCGTCTTCTGTAGACACTTTGGCCATCCACACATGTGGATGACAAGATGCCCCCTCCCTGTGAATAAACATGGTCCCGCCTAAGGTCAGAACCTAGATTTAGGTGGGCCTCATGACCGCCATTACTGCCAGCATTGCCATGGCAACAGTAGCAGCCGCTGCCTGTGAGCCTTCAGGAAGTTGTGGGCCATGGAAGGAGGACTGGGGTAGCCTAAGGTCAGACCAAGCTTGCCTGCCTTCCTTCCTTCCTTCCTTCCTCCTTCCTTCCTTCCTTCCTTCCTTCCTTCCTTCCTTCTTTCCGGTCTTCTCTCTCCCTCCAGCTGTTTTTAAATAATCTAACACTTGGGAAAACAGGGATGAGCCCCGATACCTACAGGCCTGCCATAGGAAGAGAAGTCAGGCTTGGGGCCCATAGTCAATGAGATGGGCAGAGAACAAGGTGGTAGCGTGGGCATCGGAGAAAAAGAAACCGTTGGAACCTCGCTGTGTGCCGCGGTATGACTGGCCTCGTCTTTGACTTTTCCCTCTTCTACTCAGAGGAAGCTACACCAGATTGCCTCCCTGCTCTGACTCCTGGGCTGTGACCCTTGCTGGTGTACGGTCTCCCGCTATGGGGGATGGTGCCAACCTGACAGGCTCTAGAATCACCCAGGAGACAAATCACCAGGCGTGTCTGAGGAGTTTCTAGATTAACTGAGGTGGGAGGGACCACCCTAAGGTGGTCCCTCCCACGGGCTTGGGTGCAGGGCTGAATCAAAAGGAGAAAGGGAGTAGAGAACCAACAATCCACCTCTCTCTGCTTCCTGGTGATAGACGCAATGTGAGCCGCCACTTCATGCTTCTGCTCTGTGTCTTCCTCCACCACGTTGAACTACACCCTCAAACAGAGAGGCAAATAAAGCCTGCCTTCCTGCAGTTTCTGTGGCCGGGTGTTTCGTCCCGGGAACCACAGAGTAACTAGTGCACCTGCCGAGAGCTGGTACTGCTGTCTGTCACATCCCCTCATCATCGCACGGTAACTGAGCTGAGCTGAGCTCAGGGATCGCGCCCAAGCGTGCCTAAGCATCATCGTCTGCTTCCCTGACACGTTAGTGCATTGGGTAACATTCTGAGACAGCAAACGCATAGACACTTAGAGCAGAGACAGAGCCTGAGGCGTATTTCCCCCAGAGGGGCCAGCAGTACTCCAGCCAGGGTCCCTGCCACTGTTCCCCTTGGGAGCGGTGTAGCTCACGTTTCAGCAACATCTGGACTCTAGCACTGTGTCAAAGGGCGGGCCTGGGCCCCTGTGGGTCACTGAAGAATGCCCACTAGGTCAGAGAGCAGGAGGTATGGCCCTGCAGCTGGTGGGGAGAGCGTGAATATCCCGAGGCAGCTTTGGGACCCTGAAAATAAGACAGCTAGGCTTTCAGATGCCGCAGATACGGGCTTTACTGGATCCTTTCTCACTTGTAGTTCTTCACTTTGGGGGTGTCAGAGGCTGCAAGCCACCCCAGCCAGAACTTTCTCGGGAAATGCAAGGCCCAGCCCCTGAACCTTTCATCCTTGCTCTCTACCACAGAAGCCTCTAAAACACAAACAGGTGGGCCCTGTGGGTCACTTGCTGAGAGAAAAGTTCACTCAGCACCAAGTACCTGCTAATGCCTGGGGACTGGTCATTTGTGCTAAAGGGGTAGGTATGTAGCCAGCTAAGGCAAGTGGCCTAGAGTTCCAGTCAACACACAAGGAAGTAGGAGGTCAAGGGAGGCTCACTTGGGTAGGTCAAGCCTTCTAGCTACCTGGTATTTCTCCCTCTCCTTGCCAGTTCAAGAGGATCTGGGGGGAAGGACCTGTAACCCTGACAGGTCTGACAGGTGTCACAGATGGGGAACAAGGACAGTCTTGTTATAACAGGATCGGGCAGCTATCTTAGCAGATGGATATACACCAACTTCCTGTTCCCCATTTCCCCTTTCCTGGGATGGGGAAGAGGAGCCGAGCAATGGGAGGAGTCAGAGTTGGTACAGATGGGGAAACTGTAGCCTGGCTCCCAGAAATGTGGGGGAGCCAGGATTCAGACACATTCCCTGATCATGCTAGGTTTGCTATCTCTCGGCACCACACAGAGCTCCTTGGCCTACCAGGATGACAACTCAAGCTAGTAGTTTTGGATTGAGCTGGTCCCCAGGGCCTCCTTGTCCCATAGTCCCCCATCTATATCCTGCAGTGGTCCATGGCATCTCAAGAGAATCCATGATGGTGATATTCTGGTTGAGACTTCAGATCTCCTTACCTCCCAGCCTAGGGTCCCCGACAACTGTTCTTCCTCAATAATAATGAGGCTAGTTCTTTGCTCACTAGAGGACCTCACTTGCCCTTCCTCCTGAGACATAATGCCGGTCTCCTTGAAGGCAGCATCACTCCATCCTCCCATTTCCCTTGTGGTCATGGCCTTCAAGGAGAATCAAGCAGGCAGAATATGATGAGCACCAAGGCCCTCAGGACACCTCATGCTTCCTGTTCTCACACTTGCGGTGTTATAGTCTTTTGCTTTTCCTGAGATGTCCTAAGCTGTGGTAAATTGATGAGTTCTCCTCAAGGGGACCTGCTCTTACTCCTGGGACACTCTGCCAGCCATGATCTGTGAGCCACAGCCCAACCTTCCCAGAGAAGCCTCACATACCCATAATGCTTCTTTCTTCCCTCTCCCGACCTTGCATCTCTACAGAAGGAGAGGTGATACAGAGTGTGAATAGTCCCTCCCCCTACCTCCCCCTACCTCCCCTCTTCCCCAGATCCACTCCTCCTCCTTTCCCTTCAGAAAAGGGCAGGCCTCCCAGGGATATCAACCAAACATGGCATATCAACTTACAATAAGACTGGGCTCATCCCCTCATATTAAGGCTGGATGAAGCAACCCAGTAGGAGGAAAGGGGTCCCAAAAGCAGGAAAAAAGTCAGAGACAGCCCTCATTCCCACTGTTAGTAGCTTCACATTACACCAGACACAACTATAACATATACTCAGAGGACCTAGGTCAGACCGACACAGGCTCCCTGGTTGTCCATTCAGTCTCGGTGAGCCTCTAAGAGCCCGGGTTAGGAGACTCGGGGCTATTTTCCTGTGGTGTCATTAACCCCTCTTGCTCCTACAACCCTTCCTCGTCCTCTTCCACAGGATTCCCTGAGCTCCACCTAATTAATGTTTGGCTGTGGGTCTTTGCATCTGCTCCCGTCAGTTGCTGGGTGAAATCTCTCTGATGAAAATTATGCTAGGCTCTAGTCTACAAGTCTAGCAGAGTATCTTTATTTATTTATTTTTTCCTGCCTGTGTTTGGTTCTATCCTAGGTCCCTGGGCTATCCAAGATTCTGGTTCCTGGCCCTCCAGGCAGTGTCAGACATGGGCTCCCTCTTGTGGCATGGGTCTCAAGTTGGACCAGGCATTGGCTGGCCACTCCCACAAGGTCTGTGCCATCTTTACCCCAGCACATCTTGCAGGCGGGACCAATTGTAGGTTGTAGGTTTCATGGCTGAGTTGGTGCCCCTATCACTCCACTGGAAGCCTTGCCTGGTTATAGAAGATGGCCAGTTCAGGCTCTGCATCCTCCATTACTAGGAGTCTTTCCTAGGATCATCCTCGTGGATTTCTGGGAGTTTCCACGGCACTAGGTTTCTGCCTCACCCTTGAAATGCCGCCCCCCCCAATTCCAGTCATCTCTTCCAGTACTCTCTCCCTCCACCCCACCACCTGATCCCTCCTGTTCATATCCCCACCTGTCCCCAGTCCACCCTGGAAATCTATTCCATTTCCCCTTCCCAGGGAGATCCATGTGCTGAACCCCCTTAAGCCTTCCTTGTTACTTAGTCTCTCTGGGTCTGAGTAGTATAGCATGAGTGTCCTTTAGAATTTGGGGGTCACTTACGTAAAAATATAAAATGTTTTGGGGATCTGTGTGTCATCCTCGCACAGGGACCATGCCAATCTTCGCTGTATCATTCCAATTTTACTTTATATGCTACTGAAGCAAGCACAAGTCTTGATAAATTTTAAAGATTTTTCTTTTATTTGGGGGCGATCACATCTGTTCAGATGCTCAACAGGGACCAGAAAAGAGTACTGAATCTCCTAGAGCTAGAGTTGAGTTATGGTGGTTTGTGAACCACCCAACATGGGACTCTACCAAAAGTTCCAGGTTAGCCAGGTTAAAAAATAAAGGAGAAGAAAGAAAAAAGAAGGAAAGAAAAAAATTCATAAAAGAAAGCTCATCAGTAATGTGGTGGTTTGGCCCCCACAGGCTCATCCCTAGTTGGTGGAACTATTCTGGGAAGGATTGGGAGGTGTGGCCTTGTTGGAGTAGGTGTGGCCCTTGTTGGAGAAGATGTATCACTAGAGGCAGGCTTTGAGGTTTCAAAGTCCCAGGCCATGCCCAATATCTATCTGTCTCCAACCTGTGGATAAGATGTAAGCTCTCAGCTACTGCTTCAGTGCCATGCCTGCCTGCCTGCCGCCATGCTCCCCGCCATGATGGTCATGAACTAACTCCCTGAAACTGTATGTAAGCCCCCAGTTAAATGCTTTCTTTTATAGGCTGCCTTGGTCATGGTGTCTTCGCAGCAACAGAGCAGTGACTAGGATAAGCAGTGAATAGACAAACCAATAATTATTAAATGCTGTGTGCTGAGCATAGTTGTGTGTGTTGTACTTTGACTGTAAGTACTGTAAGTTTGTTTACACCACCACAAAGATGTCCATAATGCATTGTGCCATTACTAGATTAGAGTGTCATGAAGCAGTAATTTTCAGCTCTATCATACAGCACAGAATTACAGTTGTATATATGGAACATTACTGTATAGATTTGTGTACGTGTTTGTGTATATGAGGGTATGCATGAAAGCATAGGTCAGTCTCTGATGTCCTTCCTCAGGAACCATCCACTTTTTTTTGAGACAGGGTCTCTCACTGGGACCTGAGACTTCCTGATTAGGCTCCACTGAATGACAATCAAACCCTATGGATCTTTGTCTCCACATTCCCTGCAGAACATCATTTCCAGCCTTTTACACTGGGGAATGGTTTGAAATCAGTTCCTCATGCTTGCATAGTGTGCTGGCTGGCTTTATGTCAATTCGACACAAGCTAGAGTCATCAGAGAAGGAGCCTCCACTGAGAAAATGCCTCCATGAGATCCAGTTGTAAGGCATTTTTAAGTTCATCTATTTATTTTACATCCTGGCCACATAAGGCATTTTTAAAATTAGTGATCAATGGTAGAGGGCCTGGCCCATTGTGGATGGTGCCATCCCTGGGCTGCTGATCCTGGGTTCTATAAGAAAGCAGGCTGATCAAGCCATGGGAAGCAGGCCAGTAAGCAGCACCCTCCATGACCTCTGCATCAGCTCCTGCCTCCAGGTTCCTGCCCTGTTTGAGTTCCTGTCCTGACTTCCTTTGGTGATGAACAGCAATGCTGAAGTGTAAGCCGAATAAACTCTTTCCTCCCCAACTTGCTCTTTGGTCATGGTGTTTCACTGCAGCAATAAAAACCCTAACTGAGACACATAACAAGTCCTCTGCTGACTGAACTATCTCTTCCAGTTCCTGTATACAGGGATTGTATACCCATTAAAATATACAAATATGGGTTGGCAGGATATCTCCATGGGCAAAGGCATCTGCCACCAAGCCTGATGATGTGAATTTGACCCCTGGGACCACATGGAAAACTCTTGAAAGTTGTCTTCTGACCTCTACACACACACACACACACACACACACACACACACACACACAAACAAATATAATATACAAATGTGTTTCAAAAATAGTAAATGGAAAAATAGCCCCTATCCCAGCCAAGATAAAGACTGGGTGATATAGGGCCATACCTATACCAGCTGGAGCCACACTCAAGGTCAGCACTCACCTGCTCAACCTGTGCCTTGCTTTTCCTCAATGCTTTCAAAGCTCCTGTCAACTGAACTTTCAGGAAAAGACAGTGGCTTCTACTCAGGAGTCAGGCAGGGAGATGATCTGTGTGTCAAGTGCCTGGGATTCTGTACCGTTTCCTTGCCTGGAAAATGCGAGTGCTAACAACACCTACCTCCGCTATGAGATTAAACGCCATTAAACACTTAGGGCACCACTTGTCATGGTAGCCGTTTCTGTTTCTTTACACTTGATGTCCAGTGATAACCTCAATGAGACAAGCCAGCAGAGCCAGAGGGGCTCAGAATAGATGACAGCGGGCATCAGGAGTGTAAGCCAACCTGGGCTACATAGCGAGTTCCTGCCTCAAAAAAACGCAACCTCGGGGGCTGGAGAGAGGGCTCAGAGGTTAAGCACACTGGCTGCTCTTCCAGAGGATCTGAGTTCCATTCCCAGCTCCACAAAGTATCTCACAACTGTCAGTTCCAGGGGAGTCCATTGCCTTCTTCTGGCCTCCACGGGCACCAAAAACACACACGGTGCACAGACATACAAGCATGCAAAACACCCATACACATTAAAAAAAAAAAAAAAAAGACAACCACAGCCAGGTGCAGTGGGCACGAACCTGCAGAGGCAGAGAAGTCACTGCAAGTTCTGAGGCCAGCTGCGAGTTCCAATCAGACAACAGTGAACAGCAACGACAATAAGTACAATTTAAAAGTAAATAACTAGAAATGGAGCTATTACTATAATCGGCCTCCCGGGGCTGAGAAACGCCAAAAAGTTCCATCGAGATGGCGCTTTTGCTACCTACACCATGTCTGGAAGAAACAGTTTTTCGAAAACACATACACAATCCATGCAGAAGTAGATACTGTTACTGCGAGAAGACCGCCGCGGCCGCCAGGCGCCCAAGGAACAAACTTTTGGGAAGCCTTGGGCGTCGCGCACCAGACCGCCGACGGAAGCCTCGATGCTGCCCCCTGGTGGCTCCGTGAGCCGTGCCGCGGAGGAGCACGCCCTTCGCAAGGCCGGGCTTTCGGGGAGGCTTCCAGCCAATCCGAGAGCCCCCGGCCAGCCAAGCCACCGCCCACTCGTACCGTAGAGGGCGGGGCGTCGCGTCACGTAGCACAGCGCATGCGCGCGCCGAGGGGGCGGGGCTCCCTCGGCAAGATGGCGGCCAGCGGTTTGCGGCAGGCTGCGGTTGCAGCCAGCACCACCGTGAAGCCTATTTTCAGCCGCGACCTGAACGAGGCCAAGCGGAGGGTGCGCGAGCTCTACCGCGCTTGGTATCGGGAGGTGCCGAACACTGGTGAGAGGCAGGGGTGCGTCCAGGGCCCTGAGGCACCTGCCCAAGGTCTCACGGCCGAGCTGAGGTCACCGACTAGGGCAGAAACGATTCCTGGGCTTGGAGGGAAGAGGGTCACTCGAGGCAGAAGTGCCCCAAACCGGGACGGGGCTTCCGAGCGATCTGGTCGCTTTGGTGGCTTTGGCTCCTGGGAGGGGAGAGCAGGGACTGTGAGAGACTCTTAATTGTAGCATACCGAGAGACAGATTGACGGGTCCCGGGTCCAGAGCCAGCCCCGGGAGCTTCTGTCAACGTACAGTTCCAGAAAGTGTCCCAGATGCCCATTGGATTTTGTAACCAAACTGACGAAGGACTTGAAGTTATCCAATCCTCATTCTGGAAAACAAACCTGGACCATAGAAGGGAAACAAACGACTTGGCCAAGGTCATCCAGTAGCTTCCTGGTGAAATGGCCTCTCAAGTCCCCTGTCTTTCTAACTCAGCTTGCTCTAGGATTTTGAAGTCTAATCCCTACTGCTACAGAACCCTTTTCCCTTAGATGGCGGAGAGTCTCATCTGTTCGCCTGATGTGGGGCCTTGAATGCAGACTGTCACCTTGCTATCTCCGTCAGTGCTGTCACTGTGCCGGATTTTAATAGGGGGCGAGAGTTCAAATGTCAGGGACATCTTTTGTTGTTGAGTAGACGTGTATTTAACTTGGACCACCACAGCTGATCTGAGGGGGAAGGCATTTTCCAGTGAGTGACAGCACCATGGCGCACCTCAGAGCTGCTGAGAGGCAGCAGCAGCAGCACTTTCCTCAGGTTCTGCCCTTTATTAGCTGTGTGACCTTGGATAAGACTCTCCATTTGTGCTGTTTGCTCATCTGTGAAATGGGTATAATACTGACTTCTTCAGGGAGTTACTTTATTAAATAGGTTACTATAGTAACTGACATAAAGTTTGGAGAAGGCACTCATGGGGGCCGGGGAGTGTGGATTCCTCATAGTTCTTAGAACAGACTGGAATGAAACACCAAAACCAACCTCAGGCCCGCATTACCTGAGAGCAGCTATACAACATTGAACACTTCAGTCTCTCTGGGTCTGAGGCTTCACAAACAATAAGAGTCTAAATTCCAGGTTCTGTATCGGTGTGCGTTTGCTAAGTGTCATCTTACAGTCCCACTTTTTTGTTCTTTTCTGAAATTCCTGTGTAGACTGACCACCTCTCTGAGAATCTGAATTTGTAGTGTTTACCATTTCTATGATCACTGAATTTGAGTATAATGAAGGACTTGAACTTGTTTTAGACACAGCATGACCCTAATTAATGGTTTTCCGAAATTATGATGTTTTGGGGGGGGTTGTTATTTTTTGGTGTTTTTGGTTTTTGTGACTTTCTGTTGTTTTTTTCTGAGACAGAAAAAACTTTGTAGCCTTGGCTGTCTTTGAACTTGCTGTGTAGACCAGGCAGGCCTTAAACTCATAGAGATCTGCCTCTGTGTGCCACCACACTGGGCTTGTTTTTGTTTTTGTTAGGATTTTCCCTAAACCATTGGTCCCTCAGCCTGAGTTCCCAATGCTAGAATTACAGCATGGGCCACCGTTGCTGGCTGGTTGCAGTAGTTCTGTAGATCAGGGTGAATATGTCACAAGAATGCCAGAGCACACGGTAGCCTCATTAACTGAATATACTGATCTCCTTAACCATATGTCTGAAAACCCTTGATATTCTGTCTCTTAGCCTTGTGTGCCTCAATCACCCCGCCCTTCCACCCAACACTTAATAATCCTTTTGTATCCTTGATGACATCAGCAAACCTGCTAAAGGCTGCGTGTCAGGGGATGAAAGTGACTAAAATCTGATTTTCTTTAGAAACACTATCTTTCTGTGTATCCATGGGACCATACAGGCCTAGGCTAACCTCCAGTTTACAGGCTGGGTACACAGGCATGTCACCACTCAGTAAGTCCAGTTTACAGGCTGGGTACACAGGCATGTCACCACTAGTAAGTCCAGTTTACAGGCTGGATACACAGGCATGTCACCACTCAGTAAGTCCAGTTTACAGGCTGGGTACATAGGCATGTCACCACTCAGTAAGTCTAGTTTACAACCTGTTTTCCAAAGGACACCCATGTGGCACATGAAGTTCAGTCACTAAGTTCGTGCCGCTGTTTTAGGCAGACGTAATGGATTGCTGATATTGTGACTTATAAAATATGTATTATTTTTAAATTGTGTGTGTGTGTGTGTGTGTGTGTGTGTGTGTGTGTGTGTGTGTGCGCGCGGGTACAGGTAAATGCAGTATTGGCAGAGGCCAGAGGCATGGATCCCCTGAAGCTAGAGTTACAGGTGTTTTTGAGTTGCCTGATATGGGTGCTGGAAATTGGAACTCAGGCCCTCTGGAAAAGCAGTATGTGCTGTTAACAGCTGGGTCACCTCTTCAGGCCACCACCACCCCTTT